TTTGAAGAGTTAATATGTGTACATCACTTGGCCAACAAAGGTCCATATAGTCAAAGCTATGGTTTTTCCAGTAGTCATGTACAGATGTGAGAGTTGGACTATAAAGAAGGCTGAGCGCTAAAGAATTGATGCTTTCACACTTTGGTGCTGGAGAAAACTCTTGAAAGTCTCTTTGACAGCAAAGAGATCAAACCAGTCAACCTGAAAGGAAATCAACCCTGAATACTCATTGGAAAGACTGATGCTGAATCTCCAATACTTTGGCCACCTGATGTGAAGAGCCGACTCATTGAAAAATACCCTGATGCTGGGGAAGATCGAAGGCAAGAGGAGAAGGGGATGACAGAGAATAAGGTGGTTGGATGGCATCATCGACTCAAGGGACAAGAGTTTGAGCAAACTCTGGGAGATGGTAAAGGACAGGGAAGCCTGGTATGCTGCAGTCTATGGGATCACAAGGAGTCAGACATGACTTAGTGACTAAAAAACAAATAGGTGTACATGGCATACAACACACAACATTCAAATGGGTGTACTATATAAAGAAAATATGGGTAGCTCTTGTAAGGACAACTTTGGCTCCGGTTTTCCTATGCTGTTCACTTGTCAGTTGACTGATTAATTTATTAATTAGTTAAAATCCAGTTACAGGGTGCCCACTGCATGCTGGACACTGGGGTGCAGAAATGCCTGAGTTAGGCAGAGCCCTTGCCTGCAGGCTCCCTCACTGCCCCGTCAGCCCCATTTGATCAAGATCTCTGGCCACCAGCAGTCTGGACACCAGGGAGAGCAAGTGTTCTCCAGTCTGCATTTGGTGTCAGGCCCAGACTGTAATGGACTCATTGAGTTCCTGGGCAGGAGGCATCAGAGTCCTGGACGGACCTCCGTTCTGTTTCACGATGGGCGTTGCTCTTTGAGGCCTGGGCAACATGGAGTTGCCTTTGACCTTTCTGAGCACGTCTTTGTCTAGCCTATGAGGTACATCCTTGTGCCCTGAGGGCCCTTCCTTGCAGCCCAGGCTCTTCCCCTGGGAGATACATCAGAGCCCTTGCTAAGGGCCTGAAATTCTGTTTCAGGAAGACCGGGAGCAGTGCCCCTGCGTTACCTCCCGGAGGTGGGGCTCCAAGCCAGTGGAAGTGACTATAGCCTGGTCATTATGATGTCTCCTCAGCGGAGCTGCTGCTCGCAGACGGGGATGCCTCCCTTTCATTTAGCCTGCGCTTAACACTGAGTGAGCTTCTCCTCTGTGTCTGGAGCTCTGCTGAGCCCCGCCAGTGGAGACATGAACAAACTCTGCCCCTGCTTTCCAGGTAGAGTTTCTTTGGGGAGATCAATGTGATGATGAAATTGCACCCTGCAGAGAGCCGGGGGCCACAGGGAGAAGACCTTACAGGCCAGGTGATATTTCACCTTAATCTTGACATATGACCAAGAGAAGAGGAGAAAGGCCATTGCAGGATGAAGTGAAAGCACTGAGATGTAAGGGCCCATTCTTTGTACTTTGTTCAGAAAGAGAGGCAGACGGGAAGTTGAAGGGAAGAGCTCCAAGGGGGAGTGGCTGGGGCCTGGGTAGGATTGGGTGATCTCTCCTGTTCTCCTCTCCTAAGATTTCCCTGGCCCCCTTCTTTCTTTTACCTGATCCAGATGCTTCAGTGCTCCAGACATGAATTCATCCTGAGGTCAAGGTGCTCTACAAGGCCTAAAGGAACATCCCTCTCAAGGATGTGTGTACTTGACACATTCAAAATTTTAAGCCAAAGGATCACTGTTCTGAATGGGCCCTTAGACATCAGACTGAAGGCAGAGAGTTGGGAGGATGTGGAAGGAGTGTCTTCTCAGAACCTGTGAATTACCAAACTCTCGCTTTTAGATTCTAGCCTCCTAGGCCTTGGGTGGTGCCATTTATTGAGCCTTTGTGAATTCTCAGCCATCCAGATACCTGGCCAGTCACAGGACGTCTGGCTTGTCAGCCTCTCTCCTGGTGTGAGCGTCCTGTATGGTGATGGCCACACCTTGCTGAGGAGGCTAGCCCTGTGTCTACAAGGCTGATCTGTCTGCACCTGGACATTCTGGGATAGGTGAGCTAACTGGTCCTAGCAGGGAGCTCTGTGCTTAGGTTCTCTGGGAGGATGCAGGTGTGAAGTGAGTGTGAGGATGGGTGGCAGAGGGGCTGCGACAGCCCGCGTGGGCATTGCAGGATGGAAAGCCTTGGAGATGCACAGCCGCCAGGAGCGGCCTTGCTTGGAGGTCAGCAACTAAGAGCTCCTTTACTTTCAAGTCTGTAGTTATCTCTCTAGGGTGTTCAGGAGAAGCCTGAACCCCCAGTAGACTGGTGAGAACTCAAGACTTATCTGCAGCTTGAATGAGAACATGTGTGTCTTTGGTCCTACTTCCCAGGTCACGTGCTGGGCTCCTTGGACCTGCTGAGCTTGCATGGTCCTTCCAGCCATGGTGAAGGGCTGATCAAGCCCAAGACTTTCTGAACATTCTTGTTAGAAACAAGGACACAGCATAAGGTGAAAGATGCATTAGTTTCGCTCCTTCCAGAGCCACCGTGCTCATCTCCCTGACCCTTGGGGATTGACAGTGAGCTCTGCCCTTTGTATTAGGGCTCCCCAGATGTGTTCCTAGGAACAGCATCCCCAAGAGAGATGCTCTGACAGAAGGGTTCTGTGATGAAGAAGTTTGGGAGTGCCGTGCACTGCTGCCAGCCCCCTTTGGGGGAGGGGGGCAGTTTGTGTATAGTAGTACTAAAGGCCCCAAGAATCCTGCTGGGAGGAAACCTGCTCACCTTGACTGAACCCAGACTTTCCCACATGCATTCGATTGCAAGTTCCCAGCGCTAATATTCCATGGCCTGCATCTTAGAAACATGCCCAAATGTCCTCCACTTCTGTTGCTGTTTGTGGCTTGTTGTCATGTTCTTGGTTCTCTATCTTACACACATTTGCTGAGGGTGTTCTCAGGAAAGGGCATGGATTCCCAGACCAATTCTGCCCTGTTCCCATCTCCATTTTACCATTCGGATCTGGGAGATTATCAGTGCTTGAACCAAGCCCAGGACAGGCTATAGCCTATTCAGAGGGCTTATGGGACACTGAGTCCTGGTCATTCTGGACTTGTTCAGAGCTCTGGGTTAAAGCCTGTGATGGGAAGGAGAACTCCCTGCTGTGATCAGTGGTCCCTAGTACGCCTGGATGAGTTGTGTGGGGGGATTTGTCGCAAGAAAGGAGGCACGTTAAGTGAGATGAGCATCTCTGATGTGTGTTTGCTAGAGTGTTTGGCTCTCAGGGGCCTAGCTTGGTACCCAGAGAGACCGAAGCAGGAGGAATGGCGAGATGGCTAGGGGCCTTTCTCTTTCTGTGCAGTGCAGTGAGGCTCTCCTCTGACTGAGCGGGTTTCAGTGAGCACGGCGGGGTGTGGAGGCAGGAGGCTGGCTCTGAGGTTCTCCAAGCCCCATCCTGTTTTCAGATCTGGCTGCATGACCCTACAGGACAGCAGACGCCGGCAGAACTGTCCTGAGGGTATGAGTCCTGGGCGAATGTTGGGTGTATGGGAAGGGAAGACGGCCAGCTGCTGGGGCTGTGACTCAGGGATGGATGGGGGCAGGGAGGAGGTGCTGCTAAGTGAAAGTGAAAAGTTCCAGAGGCTTGGATGCAAGCCAACCATCTCACCCCCTGCAACCTACCATTCTAGCATCAGGACCAGAGCAACTGGTGGGCGAGTTGCATCCTGCATGGACCCCCCTCCCCTCCGTCTGTCAGGGATGTGCAAGTGCCCTTTGACCATTGATGTTCACGGCCACATATAACCTGGTGGGGATGGCGAGGCATCAGGGGACATGTTTATGGTTTGTCCTCCTTCTGTGCCACGTAGGGAGGGCTCTGGGCCCTACATCCTGCACAGCCAGCCTGAATGGGGGCGGGGGGGGGGGGCGGAGACAAGGTCCCTTCCCCTCCCTCCACTTCACTGCACTTACTACCTGTTGCTCCCGCCTGGATTCCAGACACTGCCAGATCACAGGTTGCTTAGCAAGACCACCAGCAGCAGTTCATTCCTGTTTGTCACAACAGTGGTTATAGAATGAAATCCCATGTGCAGAATGACTCTGGAGCTGGTGATTCCCTCTCCTTTTTTCTAGAAGTTCCCCACTCCCGCCTACCCCTGGTTTTACAGCACAACCTTTCTGCAGGAGCCAGGATGCTGGCACTGGAAACACAGTCCTGTTTTTCAAAAAGTCACAGGGAGCCCACTCACCTCTCTTCAGAAAAATGCAACAGAAAACAAAGCCTGAATTCATTATCCACCCGTTTGTAGTTTGATTCCTAGAGGCCCTGACTTTGGTGCACTGGATGCAGGCTCATGATATGTATCTCTGCTTCCTTTAGATGTAGAAGCTTAGGAGAAAATAAGATGGGACAAAACTAGTTTCTCTCAGACCCATTAAATATTATCCTGAACTGGATATTAAAAGGGAGCTCTTGGAGAGAATGGCTTCTTTTCTAAGGACCCTTCTTCTATTCAGTTGAGCAGAGCTTCTAGAGAATGCACTCCAGGTGTGATTCCCAGAGACAGCCGTGGACAGCCGCAGCTGGGTCCTTGCTGGATCAGTGATTTGAAGACAGAAGAGCATGGAGCCTGCAACAGCATCATTGCTTTTTCTTCTCTCTGTCCCACTTCCTTTTTCGGTCCTGGTTAATTCCCGGATATGTCACTGAATTCACTAAGAATCTGGAATGTCTGCCATATGCCTAATACATTGTTTACTGACTGAATTCTTCCTTTCCTTGAGAAGATGCTTTGTGTTCAGAGTCTGATCAGAAACGGTTCTAGTTCCATGTGCAAAGGACCAGCCACTGTTCTGCCTGCCTGTCTGCTCCTGTCAATCATGCTGACTGCACAGACACGATGTGGGTTGATAAAGTTTGTGTGTAGATGTACACAGCCCTCTTGGAGGCTGTCCTCTCTTTGGTGATTCTGTTTCTTAACTCCTTTCCCACGCCGTTTGAGTACATGATCTTGGCCACCATCATTGCCAATTGCATCGTCTTGGCCCTGGAGCAACATCTTCCTGAGGACGACAAGACCCCAATGTCCCGCAGACTGGTAGGTGCCTCCCTCCTCATCTTTCTTTCCCCCGTTCCTCTTCTTCCCTGGTTTCCCTATCCTTTGCTTCATCACCTGGCCCCCTTCTCTCTTTTCCTACTCTACACTTCTGTGAGTTTGTTCTTTGCTGAGCAACAGATTGGTGACAAGTCCCTCTGGGGTTCATAAAGAGGACTGACCTTTTAAATTCCTGCTCCCAGGAAGTTCTGTGTCTCCAGGGCATGGCAGCCAGACAAGAAGAAAGGAAAGGCCCTGGGTTCACTTCCGTCTTATCTTCTTCCTGGGGAACTTTGAGAATGAGAGGAAAAAGGGATAGTAAAGGAGAGAGGGTGAAGGATGCTCAAAGCCTCTGTGCCTTCATGGTTCTGAACTTCCTAAATGTTTGTCCATATTCTCTGTAGATAAATTATCCGTGTGTCTAAAGTACTGCCCCTAAAGAAAACAAACAAAATGCTTAAAATCCAAACAAATGGGTAAGTGGCCCCAGTCTGATTACCCATGGATGAGAAAGGACTCTTAAGCTTCCAGCGTTAAGTGATGACCAGCAGTGGGAATGCCAGCCCCTTCAAGGCAAAGCTAGCACCATCAGTCTTCGCCTTGGGAAGACGGCTGGTCCTGGCTGTGAGCCCCACATCCACCCACTTCTGCAGCTGGCTTTCCTTGCCCCTGTGTATTCTGTGAGTCCCGCAGCACCCTCACCTCCCACCTGTACACGGGGCTGGCTCAGCACAGGCATCCCGGTGTCCTGTAGGAGAGAGGAAACGTCAGAGCAGACGGGTAGCTAGGCAGGGAGTGCCTTGGTTGAAGCAGTCCTCCTCTTAGCAGCACCTCTGTTCTTCATCCCGCAGGAGAAGACAGAACCCTATTTCATTGGGATCTTCTGCTTCGAAGCTGGGATCAAAATCGTGGCCCTGGGGTTCATCTTCCATAAAGGCTCGTACCTCCGCAATGGTTGGAACGTCATGGACTTCATCGTGGTCCTCAGTGGGTGAGTCCTCTTCCCGTTTCTTCTTTGTACGTGGAGGCGCCTGTGGGGTCGTGAAGTGGCTGGTGCAAGGAGCCTGGGAGAGGGGGAGACAATTCTATGGAGGAGAGGAGGAGGAGGAAGTTCAAGGATAAGATTCCCATGGTGCTGAGCTATGGCTGAGCCAGCTGCAGGGGTGTGTGGCTGTTCTGGAGATGCACATGGCATTAGACAGAGGCTGTGGACCCACGGTCTGGCTGCTGTTGCTTCTGGTTTCCCATTCCATGCTCGGCTAGCGCTGAACATGCATTTCCAAATGAGTTTTTTCACCAAGGCAAGTGGCCTGCCTTGGCATGAGGGACAACCCCCATAATGGGCCAAAGGATGCTATCAGGTGCAGTTTTCTTTAGAAGGTTGGGAAAGACTCTTTTAAGTATACTCTCTGAAATGATAGTTGGGGTTTGTGTCTTGACAACAGAGGATTTTTTTTAATGATTTGCAGATTTATTTATTTATAGATTTATGCATATTTATAATATGAGAAGCTGTAAAACTGAATCATGTGAAAATGTTCGATAACACATCCCTTTGGAAACTGACATAGTAACACTACATTGTGTCACAGGTGGTGTATGTGAGGGCAGTACTTGTATTTAAATATTTGCTAATTCCGCTTTTGAAAATGAATGTAGTGTACCTCTACTGGGGCCAGTCCGGTGCTGTTGTCAGCATGTGCGACGGCCTTGGGACTGGTGATGGTGTGAGCATGCCTGCTCAGGCTTTCGTGGCTTCCCGTGTGTCTCTGTATCAGGCTGCCCTTGGTACCTGCAGGCGAGGGGGCAGTCCGTGGGTCCTCTGTGGGGGTGGCAGCAAAGGGTGTAGCATGGAAAGTTGTTTACCCGCTTCCCAGAAGCTGAAACCTGTGAGGACAAGTTGAGATCTGGGTGGAAAAGTGAGGAGCGGGGAGAGATGAGCTACCGTTACTGTTGACCAAAGGTGGAGGGGAGCAAAGAAGACCTTTTTCTTTTTTTTTTTTTTTTCAGAGGAGTTGGGGCAGGTAAAATCTGACAAGAGTGAGAGTTTAGAAACACTTTCATCTTTTCATTGTCTTGTGCAACAGATATAATTGTCATATGTTTTAACCTTCATGTCAACTATGATTAAGTGAAAGGGGAAAAGTTGAAGGTGTAATAGACTGCTGCTGCTAAGTCACTTCAGTTGTGTCTGACTCTGTGCGACCCTATAGACGGCAGCCCATGAGACTCCACTGTCCCTGGGATTCTCTAGGCAAGAACACTGGAGTGGGTTGCCATTTCCTTCTCCAATGCATGAAAGTGAAAAGTGAAAAGTGAAAGTGAAGTCTCTCAGTCATGTCTGACTCTTTGCGACCCCATGGACTGCAGCCTACCAGGCTCCTCTGTCCCTGAGATTGTCCAGGCAAGAGCACTGGAGTGGGCTGCCATTGCCTTCTCCGGTAATAGACTAGAATGTATAAATAGAAACTAGTGAGCATTGAACCCCTTAGTATAAGGAACAGATAAGTAGTAGAGATGACTCTTTATGTTTGAAAACATCTGTTGTCTTACAAAAGGATCTTCTGAAGGTTATTTTTCTAAAAGAAAATGCTACTACTGCATTTAAAGTGTGATTTAGTGTGTAAAGATACAGCTTCTGCCTAGTGTTTCAGAAGTACATGGTATAGATTGTAGTACACTTGGGTGATGTCTTGTGGGTTTTATCCCCACTTAATTAAACTGTGACTGACAAATGAAATTTGTCTGTATTTAAGGTATACAATGTGATGATTTGATACATTGTAAAATAATTACTGCAATCAAACTAATTAACATATCCATCACCTCACATAGTTACTCTTTTCTTTTTGGTGGTTAGAACACTTGAAAACTACACTTTTAGCAAATTTCAGGTATGTTATACATTATTATTTACTATATGATAATATAGTAATAATATATAATAATATATGCATTATTATTTACCATGGGGAGTACTAGGTCTCCAGAATGTATACATCTGTAGCTGAAAGTTTTTACCCTTTGATCAATAGCTTCCCCTTTCCCCTACCCCTAGTCCCTCATAACCACCATTCCTTCCACTGTTACTATGACTTCGACTTCTAAAAAATTAGTATAATTAATATAACTGAGATCGTGCAGCATTTGTCTTTATTTTTCATAGTGTCCTTTGGGTTCATCCATGTTGTTGCAAATAGCAAGATTTCCTTTTTAAAGACTGAATAATATTCTTATGTGTGTGTGCGTGCACATATATCTGTATCACAGTTTCTTTATCCATTCATTCACTGATGAAAATTTAGGTTGTGTCCATATATGGCTATTGTGAATGAACTGCAGTGTACATAGAACTGTAGACATCTCTTTGAAGATAATGATTTCATTTTCTTTGGACATGAAATGTCCATTTCATTTTCTTTGGACACAGTAACCAGAAGTGAAATTACTGGATTATATGGCAACTCTATTTTTAATTCTTCTGAGGAATTTCCATGCTATTTTCTACAGTAACTGTGCCAATTTACATTTCCACCAACAATGCATGAGAGTTCTTTTTTCTCCACATCTTCACCAACAATTGTTGTCTTTTGACTTTTTGCTAATATTAGTAGTTTGGGAATATTTTAAATGTCCCTAAAAGAATATATACTATATAAACAGTCCCCAACTTATGATGGTTTACCTTACAATTTTTTTTAGTTTCCAATGATGCAAAAGCAATACTGTTCCAGTAGCAACTGAACTTTGAATTTTGATGTTTTCCACAGGGAGTGTGGTACTGTCTTGTGATGCTAGGCAGTGGCAGATACAGCTCCCAGTCAACCCTGAGATCATGAGGGTTATCATTGTGTTTTTTACTTTCAGTATAGCATTCAATAAATTACATGAGATATTCAACACTTAATTAAAAAATTAGCTTTGTGTTGTGTGAGTTTACCTAACTGTATTCTAATGGAAGTGTTCTAAGAACATGTAACTAGGCTCAGCTATGCTGTTATTAGGTTCAGTCAGTCAGTCAGTTCAGTCACTCAGTTGTGTCCAACTCTTTTTGACCTCATGGACTGCAGCACATCAGGCCTCCCTGTCCATCACCAACTCCCAGAGCTTGTTCAAACTCATGTCCATTGAGTCAGTGATGCCATCCAGCCATCTCATCCTCTGTCATCCCCTTCTCCTCCTGCCTTCAATCTTTCTCAGCATCAGGGTCTTTTCCAGAGAGTCAGTTCTTCACGTCAGGTGGCCAAAGTATTGGAGCTTCAACTTCAGCATCAGTCCTTCCAATGAATATTCAGGACTGATTTCCTTTGGGATTGACTGGTTTGATCTCCTTGGAATCCAAGGGACTCTCAAGTCTTCTTCAACACCACAATTCAAAAGCATCAATTCTTTGTTTCTCAGCTTTTTTTATAGTCCAACTCTCACATCCATACATGACTACTGGAAAACCCATAGCTTTGACTAAATGTTGACTTACTTTGTTGACAAAGTAATGTCTCTGCTTTATAATATGCTATCTAGGTTGGTCATAGCTTTTCTTCCAAGGAACAAGCGTCTTTTAATTTCATGCTACAGTCACCACCTGCAGTGATTTTGGAACTCAAGAAAATAAAGTCTGTCACTGTTTCCATTGTTCATTAGGTTAGGTGTATTAAATGTGTTTTCAGCTTATTGTTGTTTTCAGCTTATGGTGGGTCTATTGGGGTGTAACCTTATTGTAAGTCATGGAAGATCTATACAGTAAAAGGCCTTAAATGAGTCTGAGTCATTTTAGAAATATGATCTGTTTAAAAAAAGACTACTGTAATGTGTGGGTTAAATGTTAAAATTATGTGAATTCTTAGTCTCACTAAGTCTTATATGTGTCAGAGGCCATTTGAAATTTCCTGTCTAGTCCATTTGTTTTCATTTCAAACTATTCTATGTTCAATAAGGAAAATTTGGAAAATACTGAAAAAAAGAAAAAAGTCACTAAGAAAAATTCCTGATTATTTTGTGGTATTTCCTTCCGGCCTTTTTAATGCTTAGCAAGCTCTCTTTTCAATGCTTGTAATTTTGCTGCATTTTCTCAGTATATTATGGGCATAGTACATGTTACTCTATATTTTGGTAAAAAGCGGTAAAGACTGCTCAGCAGTTTATGAAGTAGATGTACTCAGCTTATGTATCCATTTTTGCAATTATCTGAGACTTAGGTTGCTTTCTGGGTTTGGCTGTTATGAATAATTATTAAAGATGCTCCAGTGTACATCTTTTGGGTGTCACATTTTAAGAGGCGTTGTGACAGGTTGAAGTTCTTCTAGAGGAGAATCTGCCTTGCTGGGGTGGGGCCTAAGATGTGTGGGGGAGGATGGAGGAACTGGCATTGAAGGACAGGAGAAGCTGGTGGGAGCCATAAACTTGGCCTTCAAGTGAGCGTTGGCACATGATTGAAGGGGCAGATTTGTAGAGGTCAGCAGAATCCTTCATCAGTGTAACCAGCAAGGCCCCCGGTGTCCCCTAGTGCGGGGTGCACATGAGTGGGCATGGGGCTGAGCCCTGGGCCAAGCCACTTGGTCCTCTCTGCTTTCTCTCCCACCAGCCCTGGTATCTGCCATTCTTAGCAGCTCCTCAAACTTTGCTGAAAGGCCACTGCCATCCATCTGAACCAATAGGACTTTGCTGAACCTACTCTTTCTTTCCAGGGAAGGGGCGTGGCACTCTTGAGATCCAAGCTCAGAGTTGTGATTCTATCCCATGGGAATGGATAATCAAAACTTGTCTTCTGTTTGGACAGTGCTTTCATCTACCATGTCACGTTGTTTCTAAAATGCATTTTTCTCCTGCTGGTGCATGTCTAAAATATGCAGCCTGCATCTTACAATAATGGCATGATAAAATTTAATTGACAGCATTCATCTCTCTTGGTGGTGAGTAAAACCACGGGGCACCTACAACTCTTGGGGTCTTAGCTATAGTGAATATGTTGTCATACAAGCCCAGGGAAGCAGG